CTTCAGCCTTCGCACCTGCTTTACAAGCACCTGAAAACTCATTCACATACTCAAGAATCCAATCGGCTTTTGTGTTCACTTCTAAGACTAGCTTGTTATTTATCACAGCGTTTCTRTCATTCCATAAGGCCCAGCAGGTGATGCCCGCAATGGTTATTTTTGTCGCTGAAAGAATTTTCATCCACTCAGTCCACCAAGCACGAAAACATCCATTTAAGCTTTTCCCCATCTCCAAATTTGGAAATAGTCTCATCCATAACTGACTTGAGTGCTTGCATCCAGCAAGAAAGTGATCCACCGTTTCCTCACTTCTTTTACAAAATGGGTAAAGAGGTATTTCTTCTATCCCTTTCTTCTTTAGATTTGTCATCGCCGAAATAATATTATGACAAGCTCGAACATTTTTTTGGGTGTGCTGCCCTAAACTCGTAGTTTGTATTTATGTAAAAACAAATTTATATTCAATATGCTCAATGCAACTTTATTTTCATCTAATTAATACAACACTTATATTAATCAATCATGAAAATAAGCATCGATACATTATAACATTTATAACTATATGATGCATATTATACATACATACTATATATCAAATATATATATATATATATGATACATGTATCCTATTGTGGAATTTTAAAACTATATGGCATACATTATGGAACAAAATATTTAAGCAAACCTATATGCAATCTAGCAAAATAATTCAAAGCAGTTAAATACTGAATTTAAAAAGGAGAAGATAAAAGCATGGGTGACACCGAGAATTTTTATAGTGGTTGGGAAATTCCTACTCCACTCCCCAATACTTCTTTTTGGGTATTTTATTGCAACGGCTCTCTTACGGGTGAGAACCAAACCAATCGATCTTCTTTTTGTCATAGGCTAAAGAGAAACTCACATTTCTTTTTACTGGTTTAGGATCTAACCAATTTACTTTTGAGATAATATCTTGGACGAGTTGTTTTAGAAACTTATTTTCACAAATGTCTAAGGTTTTCAAATTTTACACTTTTAGAATTCTTGATTTAAAACTTTTCTCAAATACCAAAATTTACCCTTATTTATGACAATTATATTTATTATAATTAGTTTTTTATATAAATGTAAAAGCTTTAATGTTCCAAATTTGATTCTCTAAGCCTTTAATTATTGTGGGTCTCAAATAAATTATTTCCATAATCCCCTAATTTACTCTCTGATATATTATACTAAAGAATGAAATTTATTACAAAAGATTTTTTCATTTCATTCCAATTTTTTTCTCAATTTCAATACATTTCAAATGTAAAATTTTGTTCAATCTCATTAATATTCGCCGGAGAGCATTAGAAAAGTAAACTTGTCGACATGATAAGGTAAGATGATAATGGAGTACTGTGGCATCATCCTTTTTGTTTTTATCCTGAAATATCTTTTTTTTGCCAGTATTTTCATTTCTCGTTGACCAGTTAATCTTCTAATATACAATATGATAAACATATACTCCTCAAGGTTATATAATATATACTTTTTATTTAACTTATAGTATGATAATAATATACTCCAATAAGTTATATAATATATATTGATATATAAAATTTTAATCTCATTTGTGACATCTTTATTTTCTATTTTTCCGACGTATTAATTAGATTATATATAATATATACCTTGTATTCTTATATAGTTATATGATATATACCTCTTTAAAAGTTGTATAGGTCTTCTTTTTCAACGAATAATTCTATTTTCCAAGGAACATTATATAATATATACTTTTTAATATAATCTACAGTATGATAAAAATATACCCGTCCAATACCTTTTTTCTATATACTAAAATAATAGGTTATATAAAGTATATGTGCATGCACTCAAAATATACTCCATAAAAACAACTCCATATAAAGCAATAGCATTAAAAAAAATAGTATAGATAGCAGATTACCCCACATATATTAACTAGAAATATAGCACATGCAACATAAAAAGAAAAAAAAAAGGAAAAAAAAAATATATAAAATTATCTGATTTGGGTTTTGGGAGACTTCTAGTGACTAGTGAGATGAGACCAATCGGAGGAGATGGTCATCATTGAGGTGAAGAGAAATACTTTCCGGCCATTTACTCTGGCAACAACATTCAGTCTGCAACAGAGAATGAAACCCATCATCTTCTTCACCACGCATGGCAACTCCTTCAACTTCAACAACGTCATTAATAGTATCGAATCTCTGCCATGGAAATAAATTCAACTGAGGTGGCTATGGCTATTATAAACTTCACAGACATTTTCAGTAGCTTTAAATATATTTCCACCTTCTGAACCACCACCATCTTTTCCAAAGTTTTGGGGAAGGAATCCCAAAATTTGGGCTTTCATATATTATGAAGCTTTGCTAAAATGGCGCCCAAATTAAGTCGATTTCATTTTCAGTTTTTTTTTAATATAATATATGTTTATAGGGACATTGTGGTAATTTACCATTAGACTTCTATTATAAACCGGCCTTAGGAAGACAATAGCGAAATTTGTAGTAAAATTGGACATTCTTGAAATTAATACGTAAGAAATTGTCTATTTGTATAACTATCTCTTTACTTTTCCCACAACCCAAGATGTACCTACACCATAATACAAAACCCAATTTGAAAATAAAGAACGCAAAAACACAAGTGGATTACACAAAATTTTACACAAAAGTAATGGCTAAAAAGTCAAATTCTAATTCTAATGTATCTCTCACAAAAAATGAGCAAGTTATTTGTAGGAGAGTGAAGATTTTGCAAAAAAAGTTGAGACAAGAATTTGAAGAGAGAGATTTTGCTTTGATAATTAATGTGGATGATGGTAGAATTTGGTGCGTTTAAATAAAATTTTGAAGATGGATTTTGACCATTGGATTGAGGGCAAAAAAATGATGAGTGATGTAGATTAAGATGAAGAATAAGAAAAAAATGAATAAAAATAATTATGGTGATTAAAATAAATTGGTGGAGATTGAGAAATTATGGAGATTTTGAGTGAATGGAGAGATTGAAAGTGATTGGGGAGATAGAGAAATTTGTGGAAATTGATTGATGGAGATTGAAAGCACCACATGTCATCTTCTAATTTGTTCGACTGTTGGATGTTACGTCAACATAAGTATGTCCCCCACCGCTACATAGGATTGGTCCACTTGTCCATGTCATTTGCCACATAGGATTTTTCTTCTAATTTTTCTTGACCATAATTTCTTTATTTGAACTTCGATTTGAGTGATTCGAAAGACATTGGTTTTGTTTTTTGAAACTCTACACTATGGATACTTTAAAATACTCAAATTGTGACTTTATACTTGGTTGGTGATCAACAAATTATTTGGCTTGATTGAAGCCTTAAAGCTAACAACGTGATCTTATTGGTCCACAAAATTTGAAAAACAAGCAATCTTAAAATTGGAAAAGCTAAAACTTGAACTCCAAAACTAAAGCTAGCATAAGAGTCAAAGATAATTAATAAATAAATAAATAGGAAGTAAAAGATTATATTATAAACAACCTGATAGGTTAAGAATGAGTCATGTACAATATGTTACCAGAACAGAGAATGAGATAAAGAACTAGGATTATCATATATCATGACTTCTTTTTATGAATCTCTTTTACATTCATCTTAATTCAAACTGCATGTATCTGTAGCCTTCTCAATCGCTGTTTCATCTCTAGTGAATTTATCAAGAACCTCAGTTGAGTCTATTGAATAATTTATATAACATAAATGAAAATTTTCAATCTTGGATTTTCTCCAATTTATCTGCCACTGAAAAATAGAAGGAAACATATTTTAACTCTTAAAACCTAAAAGAAAAGCAACTAAGGACATAACTAAACCACAGAACCAATAGATAAAGATGATCAAACTTACACATGGTATGGTAACAATTTTACTTGCTGAGACCAAAAGAGAAGTTATTCTCCATTCAGTGTTCGGATCTCTCAGAGCATTAGCTTTGTAAAAGCCTAAATACTCCGATGATCCAGCTTTAAATAAGTTTAGTACATCCTCCCAAATTTTCACAACACAATATGTCAAGGGACAAAATTTTGAAGGGAATTTTATATGTGAATCAGAGTCACTCAACTACACCACTGAGCAAAATAATCATATTCAGTAATTAGTGAGCATCAAGCCATTTAAAAATACCTTTTTAAAAGAAAAAAAAGTCATTTATAAATACGTTTGCTGATTTGTATTGTTAAACCAAAATTTCAGCAATATGAAAAAAGAATACCTTCAATTCCGACCATTGATGTTCAAGAAAGAAGAGTCTTAGATTCAGTCGCAAAAATCTAGGGCAAAAATTGCATCAATTTAGTCCAATAATAGAGAAAAATGTTTGGAAGATGGAGGGAGGATGTTTCTATGGAGTTTTGGGCATGCCCTCGCAGTTGCAATGGAGAAGGAAGAAGATGGTTTTTCAGTTTGATAATGGAAGAATTGTATCATTAATGCAGAAGCAAGAAGGAAGAAGAATAAGAAACTTGAAGAATCACATGCGTGAGATTAAATCTCTAGGGTTAGGTCTTTATTTGATTTTATTTTTAAGTTTAACCTTTACCATTTTACCTCTTCCAATTTTCCAACTCATTTACACATCTGCAACGTAGTATACAAAGAATTCAAAAGTCATCGAGTCATGTCACTATTTCACAGTCCAGTCAGCATTCTGTAAAGTCAACTAACGGTCAACTCACCCTAAGGACCATTTAAAACCATTTTTCAAATTCTAGAGATCAAAAGTACATCTTTTAAAACTTGAATAACTAAATAGATATCTAGCTCAAACACCAGGGACAAAAAATGTATTTTTCCCTCGAAACAATAATGCTGATTTATCAAATAAAACTAATTTATATGGATTTAAATTAATTATTTAATAACAAAAACTCAAAGTAATAATTTAGTTAAAAAAAGTAAAGAAAAAAAACGTGCATTGCACGTGTTAATGCACAGTATATGAAAAAACCCTAAGCCTTTATCCTATTTTACTCCCACCCGGCCGCCTCTTTCTCTGTCCCTCTCAGATTTTGTTCCTCTCTTTTCCCTCCGCCGGACTGCTCCCTCCCGCTGCCGGACTGTTCAGGTTTGATTTCCCCATCTAATATATATATTTATATATAGATGAAGGTTGTAAATTTGCTTTGCCATAAATTCTCTGGTTCCAGTTTCTTCTTTCAAATTGACTTTTCTTTCAGATTCGAGCTCACCGAATTGGCATCAGTGCCGATTTTTGTTTAGTTTAATCTTGTGTACCTTTTATTTTGTTTTTTTTTTCATCTGGGAAGGGCCTTTTTTCTTCTTTTGATTTCCTGAGAATATGTGCTTCTTGCATTTTTATCGCTCGTATAAGGTCCAGATTTGAGGAATCTCGGCTGGTAATATTTACTTTCATATACAGATAGGATGCCCTAAAATTTTAGATCTTATTTGTTCCAATATGAAATGAAAAATTAAGGGGAAAAATCCCCACAAGGAATCCCCCCGATCCCCATGAAATTTTTCAGGGACGGGGAATTATTTGGGGGTTCCCCTTCCCCGCCCCACCATTAACCCTCCTATCAGATGACTTTTTAAAAGACCATTTAATATTGTCAGGAAAAATATGTATATAATTATATTTGTGTTATTTGTAAAAAGCTATAGAATGATTTAAATATTCTATTGATTATCTTAATATTTATAATTATAGAACAAAATAAATAGACATATTATGACCATATAATATAGAAAAGAGAAAATGAGACTTTAGAAAATTGGGTCCCTTATGCGCCAGCCTCACTCACCTATACCTTATGTCGACTATGTATTAATAGCTTTAATTAATTAATTTTGAATCCTTAGAATTAATAATCTGTACGTTACCATACCTTTGTTGTAATACTAGATCTGTTGCGTTTCATTATTTGTCGTTTGACCTTGATTTGATTACTTGTTTTGAAGCTTATGTACTCCTGTTCATGTGAGTGTTGCCTACTTAGTTGTCATTCATAATGTAAACGGTTTTAAATTTTTATTTGAGAAAAGTTTTTGGGGGATTTAATTTGACCTGATGCATGACTATGAATTTAGGGGATTTACCCCACTTTTGTTACCAAGTACTTTCCTAAATTGTCATTCATACATGATATTCACCTGTAAATATATCATTAAAATTCATATTCACTTTTAAGACTCATCTCTCGCCTCAAAGTTTGAAACCCTTGAGGCTTGAGTCACAAGTCCTTTCCTCACATAGGGTGTATATATGTTGTTGGAATGAATTTGCTTCCTTTGTTATATTTATTTATTGATATTATTTATTCCTTGTAGGCTTTTAGCTTTATTGTATATACTGTTTATTTTGTTTATATGAATATGTAAAATTGATACAAGTTGTTACTACAATGTGTGGACAATTATTAAGATAGTAATCATGCATATCATCACCTTGGCTTGCTTGAAATCTGTTAAAACATGTGTGTGTTTGTCTTTTGCCTATTTCCGACCTCTTGGTTGCCTCATATTTTTTAATTGTAATCCAAGTTGTCCTACCTATGTTATCATATCTAGGTCATCTTTGCCGAAGTTATTTAATTGTTAGGTGGACAATAGGTCTATACGAGTAATCATGTTGGACAAGCCATGTAAGAAAGTTCCAAGTATATTATGTATGATTTAATAATTGCACTCATGCATTTGTCTAATTTATTGTCTGTTTGTGGGTATGCTTATCGACTACAAATTTGTTCTTCATTTATTCTCCTAAATTGTACAATTTTATACCTACACCCTTAATATGTTTGTTATGGAGAGGATAACAAGCAATAATAAGACTTGGTAGTAGGGAGTTTTTGTTCCAAATGGGATGAAGAAAATACTTTTACTTATTTTAATTTTAATTTCAACCCTGACCGTACTTTTCATTATATTATGTGATGATTAACATATTAATATACTATTAAAGAATATTTATATTGTTATGTTAAATTTTATACTCTCATTGCACGTGATATAAATATTTTAGCAAGAAATGTGTTTGAAATTGTTGCTCTTGTGGAAATGTGCAACTTCTGTGCTGCAACCTTGTTTTATGATTTCAATTTGACAAGAAATGTGGATGATAGAGTTCCTGATCCTTCCTCTCATATGATTGGCCTAGTGTAAGAGATTGGAGAATGTGAATTCTGCATTAGTATTGGTCCTCTTCTTACGGTGCTTTCATTTTATCATAACATCTATAATTTTCCGTCCCCATATATAATTCAACTTTCTAGGTTTGAAATTCCTGATGAGGTTAAGTTCTTCCCTTGGATACTCAAGGGAGAATTGTCGCCTTTGGTTTCAATCGAAGTTGGTTGTATCTTTTTCAGCCTGTGTGTTATGTGATAGAGTTGAACAAGGATCTAGATTAGATTTTGCCTAAGAAGCACGGATACTGACACAAAGACATGGATATGACACGACATAGATACGGTGACACGTCATTTTTAAAAAAATTAGGACACAGACAGGACACTGAAACATTTATTAAAATATACACTTCTTTAAAAGTGATTTTTATACCTTAAGTAAATTTAATTCAATAAGTTTATGCATTTTTATGCTTAAAATGAAATTATTTTGTCCTATACTTCTATTCATGTTTATTTCTTAGGCTTAATAAGTGTTTAATATGGGTGCCTAACAAGTGTCGGATCCATATTCACTTTGTACAACCTGACAAGTGTTTGATACATGTCTCATAAGTGTTGGAGTGTCCTCAGATACGTAGTGTTGGAGTGTCCTCGGGCGTTACCCGAAGTGTTCGTATTTCATATCACCCAAATTCAAGTGTCTGTGTTTCTTAGCTCTGAGCATTTTGGATTTAGTAGGAGGAGGTCTAGAATTTTATGAATGAAAGATTAAGAGAATGTTATGTCATGGTCCCTACACTGCAGGAAGTAGGGGGGAGATGTGGTGTTCTGAGAATATGTCCTCATTTTTTGGAGGAAAATTGTAGCCTTGTAATTGAAAGAGAGGAGGATATGTTATAAAGCACATTGAGTGTTTTGGTTTTTATATAAAAGTTGTCCTAATTTGAACAAGGGAGTAAATTATTACGTATCCAGATATATTTCATGTGTACTGCATATCTAGTGCTCACTTTTTGTTTGGATTTTTGTTCTTCAGGAAGTATGGCTGTTGAAGTTGATGTGGTAAACGTAAATGAGGAACTGACCCAGCCTCATCATGACGTGAAGCTGTTCAACCGGTGGACATTTGACGATGTCCAGGTGAACGACATCTCGCTGGTTGACTATGTTGGGGTTGCAACTGCCAAGCACGCCACCTATGTCCCTCACACTGCTGGGAGGTACTCTGTGAAGCGGTTTCGAAAAGCTCAGTGCCCAATTGTGGAGAGGCTCACAAATTCACTCATGATGCACGGGCGAAACAACGGGAAGAAACTCATGGCTGTCAGGATTATCAAGCACGCAATGGAGATTATTCATCTTCTGACTGATCTGAACCCCATTCAAGTGATTGTGGATGCGGTTGTGAACAGTGGACCACGTGAAGATGCTACTCGAATTGGTTCGGCTGGGGTTGTTAGGCGTCAGGCTGTGGATATATCCCCGCTGCGTCGCGTGAATCAAGCAATATATCTTCTGACGACGGGTGCTCGGGAGGCTGCGTTCAGAAACATCAAGACAATTGCAGAGTGTCTGGCTGATGAGCTTATTAATGCAGCAAAGGGTTCGTCCAACAGCTATGCCATCAAGAAAAAGGATGAGATTGAGAGAGTTGCAAAGGCAAATCGTTGAGTTGAGGTTATTTCTCAGCAACAGTTTTTGTGCGGTTTTGTTTTTGTTCATCTCTAAATTTATTTAGACTTGAAAGATTTTTGCTAAAATCAACCTCTTTTTGGACCTATTTCCAAGTTCCTCGTTCTTTTCTTTTCTGCTGTTCTATCCTCATTAGATTTCCAATACCAATATTTGAAGTTCCACATATTTTCTATTTTCTATTTTGAAGTCCCATTTGAAACATTTGAGTTATTGCTAAATTTCAAAACGAAAATAAGTTGGGCTTAGATTTTGGATTTTAAAACAAACATTTATAGGTGGAACTTGGTTCTATAAGTTTTTTTAAAAACCGAAAAAAAAATTAAATGGTTATTAAATGGGATTCTAATTTACTTAATTTTCTTTTTATCTAATCTCTCTTTCCACTACACGATTCATTGACATACTGGGTGGTTCATTCTCAAAATAAACAAAATTTGTGGTCAAAATATATCAAAATTATTTACTTTTAAGATTTCATAAATTTGCTTCTAAAAGTCGGATTCTATAGAATAATTTGTTTCGTGTCTTTTATCAGTTTATGCCATTTGAAGTTCCACAACTACTTTACAACTCCACAACTTTGTGTTAATAAAATCTGAATTTATCTCTTTATGCAAACGTTTATTTTTTATTAGTAAATTCAAATGTATATTTTTTCTTTCATAAAAAGATCTTATTTATTATTTTACTATCTACGTATATATTTTCTAGTAAATAAGTGCAGAGGGGTATTTGTACTCTAACCTTCTAGTTAGAAAAGAGGTGCCAATGGCTAATCTAAGCTCTTTTTGACATTATTTTACTATAATTTATTACAAATTCTCCATTAATTTGTAATCTTATCTTTTAATATAACATATATAAAAATATTTTTTAATCTAACCCCTCAAATTCTGAAATGAGTATTTTACTATTATGTTCAATATATTAATAAAATACATTAATAGTATAATTTAAATCAAAATCAAACTTGTTGGGTGAGCATACTACAAAAAGTCAAAATGAAAAGTTAAATATTTTTAAAATACCTACTAAATTTATATTATACTATGGAATGAAATTTATTTTTTTCTTCTAAACCATGCTTATTTTTTATATTATGCTATGTAATGAAATTTATTTTTTTCTTTTAAATCAGGCTTATTTTTTATATGGAACGAAATTTATTTTTTTCTTTTAAATCAGGCTTATTTTTTCATAATCTACATTTCCACCTATCTATAAAACACATTAAACTTTTTTACCAACATTTAAAAAATAAAAACAAGTTTTTAAAACTCAGGTTTTGATCTTGAAAAACAAGGTTTTCAAATACTTTTTTTTAAATTTAATTATTTTGAACGCAACTTTGATTTTAAAAATATTTTTAAAGTTGAAGGTTACAAAACAAATAAGCACATAGATAGACATAGTATCAATAAGTAGTGTTTTAAGCTTAATTTTCAAAAACAAAAACTAAAAAACCGAACCTAAACTTGAATAAGCAATTTTAGTAATTTTCCAGTTCTTGAAAGAATTTTATTAATTTAAAGGTGAAAATAGCTGCCCACTACACGTGCTGAAATGGTGTGTGGCAGAGTTACTGATATTCGTATCTCAATTCAAACTGGAGCATATTTCAAGACAGGGGAGGAGATTTCCTCCTTTGTCCTTTAGAAAAAAAATCAAACATAAAAATATCTCATTGAAAGGGGAAGGGCAAATTGGCCCATTTTTTTTCCTCAATGTCACAGCAATTGTTAAAGTTGAGAGAGAAGCAGCAGCAGAAGCAGAAGCAACTAATCAAATTTACAAGCAAAATATGTCTTAAACAATTGTAATGTATTTACAGAATTTGGAGCAACCGAGTTGTTCTCAGTCGAGATAAAAAAGAGTAACGATTTTGCGGAGATTTTTAGCCTCTTGGCAAGTTTCCATGAGCAATCTGCTATCATGAAATGCAAAGCAAATAACTTGCTGTACATGTGAAATTATGTCCATATTACATAACCTGCAATTTTTCCAAAAAAAATCAGTAACTGGATCGAGAGGCAACTAAAAGCACTTTAAAAGTATATGTACAATCAAAGCACTTGGCTACGTAGAAGAGTGTGAAAGCACTCGGCCTATGTACATTGTATGTATCTTGGATTACATTTTTCTTTCCTATGGAAGAGAATGGTAATGGATATTTTCATGTAAGTTTCAAACACGAAGCACAAGTTTATTATTATACTTTTCCTATATTCTTTTTGATAACTCGGAATCGAAGCTATTTAGCTTTTTAACCTCTTTATAACCCGTGCACCTACGTCCGTTCCAAGGCTCAAACATGAGAGACATCAAGGATTTTTGGTATTAAGATTACTCGAAGGTTCGAACACAAAACCTCATGACAACTGATACCACAAGATCTAGGTACTTGCTAATGGGGCTACCCTTGGGGGCATTATACTTTCACTATATAAAGTTATAATTAGCTTTATTGTCAACTAAGGGAAAAAGACCACAAACCTGCTAGCTTCTATTAGAGGTAGATGATCGTTGTGGGGCTTCTCGATCACATTCTTCACCTACAAACACCCAAGAAAATCATAAAGATTACAAATTTTAATAAACATACTATTGACCAATTCACCTCATCGACAATAAAACCAGATTATCAACTAAAGGGAAACTCCCAATACATTTTCTAATAAGTAGAGAAGTTAATCTCTCTCTCTCTTTTTCTTTAAAGTAGAAAGTAAAAGAGAAGTTCCTCTTTTTGGCATTTTTTTCCCCTGAAGAAAACATTGCATACGGTAAGTTTATGAAATTTTCAAGTGCAAAGGAACTCTAGTTATCATTTTTTAGAATTATTTTTCTTATAAGAAACCAAAACTTTTCATTGATTGTAAGAAAAGTAGAAAGAAAGGGGAACAACAAAAGGAGACCTCCAGGCCCAAGGAGCCTATACAATATGCTCCAAGTGGTCAAACCAACGAGTAAATAGAAACAAAAATAAATTTTTACTTTCCAAACTTCCTTGAGCCTTTTTAAAATTTTTCCTCAAACATGTTTAGAACAATGCACACAAACAAGCTCTGAGTAAATATTTTAAAGCCAACAAAACTTACTTTGGATAATAATTCCTGGCTCTCGGGAGGTTGTTTTTTCAAACTTTGTGGCAAAATGACAGTAAGCAATTCTGGTTTCTCAGCCCTCAATGCACCTCTGATAACTGCTGCATTGGTTCCAGATGCTCCTGAAGTATAGATGTGGTTCTTCTGCATACAAAAATTATTCAGCAATATGAAGTTCATGCACTCATCAAATACCAAAGAACCTTTCACAGTTCACTATAATGCATTGACATTAAATCACATATCCCACCGTTATAACCATTGCATAGCTAAGAATCTCAATGAGTTCTTGATGCAAGAAACCCATATTTCGGGTTCCAAAGAAACCAATGGCTCTAGGACCTTGTTGTTGAATGGCCAATAGCTCCTGCAAAAATAAAAACACATAGTAATTTGTAAGGAGCTTCACATAAGCAGTCTGAGGAAGAAATTGTGGTTACTGGCTAACTAGAGCAATGACAGAGGTTAATAAAAGGTCATCCAAAAGATCTGGTTCCTCGGGAGATTGTACCATTGCAAATGCTGAAGTCGTAGGTAAACTTTAGAAGAAAAATACAGAGTCTTGGTTTTTTTTTTCTCTCTCTCTCTCTCTCTCCTTTCTTTCAATCATATTTTTCAGAGATGGCTGACATAACTGTTCCCAACCTGGAAGACTTCGGTTCAAAGTTATATAACTATTGACTATAGCCAATATGGATAAGTGTTAGTATTTAGTTTCATAGCCATCAAAAAGAAAAGGAAAAGATAAGATTCCACAACACTCACCTGTAGATAATCAACATCAGGAACTGGTTTGAACTCGGACACCATAACAGATCCTGATCCTTCCACAATGGATTGGGCTTGGGTTGGAATTTGAGTGCCTGTCTCGTCATTAGACCCATATCCAAACATCTGCGTATTCTTCTGATGCACATTACTATTTTCATCTTCATCTCTACTTATATGCCCTTGAATCCACTATAACCAGTACATAAAAAAGATCCCCTGGTAGTAAATCATTAGTGAAAACAACTGCCCACAAACGTGGTAAAGTAAAAGCTTGCTATTTAACTATGAAACTCCAAACAGTCTCAATATTAAACAAAAGTTTAAATTATAAGGCTTGAAGCAAGTCAAGTCAACCAGATTTAGCCCTCCTCTTTGATTTAAAAAAAAAAGAGAGAAAAAAAAAAAGAGAATTTCTTCCGTAAACCAAAATAGGATAAGAATATAGAGTTTTCCACAAATAAAGATGCAGAGATAATAACAAAGCTGACTAACCATCAAAACTTGTAAGGACAACTCAGTTACACCAAGTACCAAGTCAATCAGAAGTATTGAAATATAACAAGATATAAGAACTACTATAACTACCAAGCTAAGAGGCACTGTCATGGGCACACGACACGGATACGACACGACATGGATACGACATGACACGGACACAACGACACGCCAATTTCCAAATAAAGTAGGACATGACACGCTAGGAACACGTTAATTTTCTTTTTTAAATATATATATATGTGTGCATATTTTAACATATTATCAATATGTAATACTATTTTTACCTTTAAACATCGACATAAATACCATAGGTCCATAACATTCATACAATAATCAATGTCATAAAAAACATCCAATATTCAATAAAACAAGTCTTACAAACAAAAACTACGAATTGAAATCAAACAATCGAAATCAAACAAAGTCTTCTAAACATTTTCCCCAACATTGTTAGCATCATCTTCACCAATTTGAGTCCCATCATCATTTAAAACTAACACGGAAGATAACGGAGGAAATGGCACGACTGTGCATAAAGAGCGTAGAGAGGGGAAGGAGGTGAAGAACAATATTTTTTTTTCACTGTGCGAAGAAGTAAAATTAGGTTTACAACATGATAATAATTTTGAACCCTAATTTTAAACCCTAATGGGCTTTGGGTCTTAGTAAAAAAACTCATTAAAAGACAATGTTGAAGTCCAAGTCTTTAAAAAACTCACTTTTAACAGGGGAAAAAAAAGGAAAAACGCCACTAGCGTGTCCCGTGTGTGTCAGACGCGCATCGACTGCGTGTCCGACGCGTGTCTGAAAATAAAAATAAAAAAAATTTCCGACACTTTTTCACGTGTCGGTGTGGACACCGACACCCAGCCTATTTAGGCGTGTTGGTGCTTCTTAGTAATTCGAGGTACTTGGACTGTTAATTGATAAGAAAAGAAAATAATTCTTACTTGATTACCACAAATGATTGATACAAGGCTATATAAATAGCAGTCACAAAGAAGAAACTAAAAAGAAATTCTTGCCTATTAGGATAAGGAAACACTTACCTATAGAATAATAAAAACCTAACCTAAATAAAATAGGAAACCTTTAAAATCAAATAAACTATAATTTAACACTCCCCCTCAAGCTAGTGAATGAATATTTTCCATTCCCAGCTTGTTAACCAAATGCTCAAAGTTGATGTTGTTCAATCCTTTTGTAAGAATATCTGCTATTTGATTGTTTGTTGGTACAAATGGAGTACATATGAGGCCGCTATCTAACTTCTCTTTTATGAAGTGTCTATCAACTTCAACATGCTTGGTTCTATCATGTTGAACTGGATTATGTGCAATACTGATGGCAGACTTGTTATCACAATAAAGTTTCATGGGCCCTTCCAATGAAATCTTCAAATCTTCTAAAATAATCTTTATCCACAGTAATTCGCAGATGCCCAATGTCATTGCTCTAAATTCCGCTTCTGAACTTGATCTTGCAACTACATTTTGTTTTTTACTTCTCCACGTCACTAAGTTCCCACCTAAGAAAGTATAGTAGTCAGAAGTAGATTTTCTATCGTCTATCGATCCTGCATAATCTACATCTGTATAAACCTCTAAATTAAGTTTCTCGCCTTTCTTAAACAACAATCCTCTCCCAATGGAGTTCTTCAAATAGTGGAGTATTCGGTACACAACTTGAAGATGAATTTATTTTGGACTATGCATAAATTGACTTACCACTTCTACAGCATACGCAATATCTGGTCTCGTATGAGAAAGATATATTAATTTTCCAACTAACCTCTGGTAAGTTTCCTTATTTACTAGAGGACTCTCTTCAGATGCACATAATCTATAGTTTTGATCAATCGACGTTCCTATTGATTTGCTGCCAAGCTTTCCTGTTTCAGAAAGTAAGTCAATCACATATTTCTGTTGTGATAAGAATATGCCTTGTTTAGAATAGGCTACTTCTATCCCAAGAAAATATTTCAGTCTTCCCAGTTCTTTAACTTCAATTTCTCAGTTTATCTTGCTCATTATTATCATTGCCAGTGACGATAATATCGTCCACATAAACAATCAATGCGGTTACTTCCCCTGTAGCAGAATGTTTTATAAACAATGTATGATCTCCTTGACTTTGTTTATAGTCCATCTTCCTCCTAACTTGAGAAAATCTACCAAACCATGCCCTAAGAGATTGCTTTAATCCATACAACGCCTATTTTAATTTACAAACTTTATTTCCTGCTTGCTGATACCCAGGTGGAATCTCCATATAAATTTCTTCTTCAAGATCACCATGTAAAAAACATCATATTGTAACATGTCCCATCCATGATTTATAGCAAGAGATAGAAGTATTCATACTGTGTTCATCTTGGCAACAGGCACAAAGGTTTCAAGATAATTAACTCCAAATGTTTGAGTATATCCCTTAGCAACCAACCGTGCTTTGTACCTCTCAAGTGTTCCATCTGCTTTTTACTTTACACTATATATCCATCGACATCCTACAACTTTCTTATCTTTAGGCATAGTAACCAACTCCCATGTTTTATTTTTTTCTAAAGCCTGCATTTCAAGATTCATTGCTTGCCTCCATTCTTCATGTTGTATTGCCTTCATATACGTTTTTGGAATATTTACCTGAGTAAGGTTAACCATAAAACTTTTGTACTGACTTGAGAGTTTGTCATATGATACAAAGTGAGACAATGGATACTAAGTACAAGTTCGTTTTCCCTTCCTTAAAGCAATCGGCAAATCCAGGTTTGACTCATCATTAGCAGATATTGTAATATCTGACTCCTCATTAGTAGATACTATAATGTCCGATTCATCACTGATTATTTTCTCTTCAATTTCAGTTATAGGGATATGTTCAGACTCTTGGACTTACGTATCTTTTTCAGTGTTCCTTCTTGAATAAACCTGTAATGGTATAGTAGTAGAAGGGTTTAGTTTATTTGATTTTAAAGGTTTCCTATTTTATTTAGGTTAGGTTTTTATTGTTCTAATTGGTAAGTGTTTCCTTATCCTAATAGGCAAGAATTTCTTTTTAGTTTCTTCTTTGTGACTGCTATTTATATAGCCTTGTATCAATCATTTGTTGTAATCAAGTAAGAATTATTTTCTTTTCTTATCAATTAACATGGTATCAGAGCTCTAGGTTTCCTCTAAATTTTTTGTGGGAATTAGGGTTTTGTGTTCATTAGGATTTTGTACCCATTAGGGTTTCGTCAGTGCTGCTGTTTTCCGATTGCTGTTCGTGGGTTTCATCTCTCCGCCAATCACCGTCGCTGTGGCCGTGTGCTTTCGTCACCGCCAATCGCCACCCATCGCCTTCGCCCCTCTGGTTGTCGTGGGGTAGCACTTAGGTTTCTGGTTTCAGAAAACACCTGAGCCGGTGCAGTTTGATTCATCTATTTTGTTTGGTTTGGGTGGTTTGGTCTGGTTCTGACGTTTCGGGTGGGGTAGCATCTATTAGGGTTTTTGCTTCAGAACATTTGTCGGTTCGGTCAGTCCAGTTCAATCAACCCGATTCGGACGGTTCGGTTCAGATAGTCCGGTTCAATTAATCCGATTCAGCCAATTCGACAATTGGTTCGATTCTCACAGTGGTTCGTTTCAATCAGATCTGGTTTGGTTCGGCATATTTTGGTTCGATTCAACTGGTTTTGATTCGGTTCAGCCCTCTTTCGGTTCGGTTTAGTGCTGATTTTTCAGTTTTATGCGTGGTTCTCCATTTTCTGAGTTGTTGTTTAGTTTTGGTATCAATGTCACAATCGCCCAAAATTACAAAAAAGTTGGACATACATGAGATCAAACAATTAAGGAGCTTCTTAAAAACTTTGGATAATGCTCCTTGTAAAGGTACAGGTTCGGTAACTTTGACGAGTACAACTTCTCAGCCTAAACGTTGTACATGGATTATTGATTCTGGTGCAACAGACCATATGAGGAATAGTAGCTATCATTTTATCTCTTTTAGTATTTGTCCGAGCAATAAGAAAATTTCTACAGCAGATGGTACCTTGGTAACCGTGGCTGGTCAAGGAGACATCAAGATAAATTCAAACATTACTTTAAAGAATGTGCTTCATATACCACGTTTAACTGTTAATTTGATATCAGTAAAGAATTTGATCAAAGATTTAGGTTGCAGAGTAATTTTTTCTG